AATAACATTATGGAATATATTACATAGGTAGTTTGGGACATGTGCCTGCGACCGCCAGGAAGGTAGAAAGCGAACTAGATGGACCTTGGTCTTTTTTTCACCTGGCATTTCTTATGTTATATTCGTCACACAGCAAAGTGTCTCAGAGCACTTGAATGTGTTCCGAATAAATCACATGTCTATCCCTTAAATGTGCCCTAAATAAATAAACCAAATGTCTTATCTGAAGACTACAGACATTGTCGTATCATAAGATGAAGTTGAAACAGATGAAAGATTTGAAAGATTGAGAAAATTGCTTCTATATTTTTTTCGGGAGGAGTGGGGGGAGAATCGATGGAGTTTTCAACTCCTGTTCTAGGTTTGGAAAACATTGGTAATTTTATTCTTTCTGCATTTAATTTATTTCACAAATACAGTAAAAGCTGCTAATTTTTAATCTGAGATATGGCCTCTTGTACAAAGTGGACTTAATTGTACGCCTGTGTATTGCACAACGGTATTTTATAGTTTTGCTGTCAGAGGACACTTAAATAAGGAAAGGAATAAGCCTTCGCTCACCGTGTGTTTGTAATCTATCTCTGCGTGGATCAAATCTTAATTATAGTTTTAAGGAATGTTCATTACTATTGAAGTACAGTAAACTAGCTCCTGCTTAATGAAGTGTGCAATTTCAAATCGGGTTCACAAGCTGAAACTGAATCAGCACTTACTTCGCTGTCGTTTTCGAGGCACTCTTTCAATCATTGTGAGAACCACATGATTCCAAGCTGAGTTGACAAGTTTCCTTAAGTTGTGTGCACCAGCTGTAGGGGACATTTGTTGTAGTGACACGGTCTCATAAATAAGATTCTGCTGAACCCATCTCCAGGATTAGGTCACTGTAAAGTGATTAGAACTTTGAATAAAGAACTTGGAGGCTTCTTCTGTTTAAATTGTGACCAAAATTATGTCAAATCTGGAAGAAAAATGATGTAGAACAACACCATAATTGCTTTTGCAGGATCGGGGGAGGCAGAGAGAGGTGAAAGCCATCATCACCAGAGGCAAAGAGTAGGACTAAACTGATAGCACAGACACAATGGGCCGAATGGCCTCCTCCTGTATTATTTTAAATCTATACTAATTTTGTTCGATGAAGGGCATGGAAAACGCAAAGCAATTGTAAGTTAGTGGATGGCTCTACCCGCTGGGTAAAACAATGGGACCCATTTTAAAATACTAGCTTGGCCTGTTAAGAATGAAATCAGAAATCATTCTGTTAATAATCCTTTCATTTGATTATGAAGTCTTTGCGCAGAGTTGTGAATCGTGGAATGCACTGATCCAGAAGTCCTTACAGGCAGAATTAATTGGAATCTTTAAAAGAGAACGATATAAACTTACAGCACAGAAGGCGGCGCATTGCGTCTGTGCTGGCTCTTAAGAACAATCTTTTCAATCCCATTTACCTGCTTTTTCTTCATATTCCTGTAGCTTGCTCCTTTTTAGGTAATTACCCAGTTCTCTTTTGAAAGCTAATATCAACAACAACGACAAATCTATAGAGCGCCTTTCACGTCGGGAGGACATCCCAAAGCGCTGAACAGTCAGGTGTTGGGGTTCTGAGCATGGGTGAGGGAAGGCAGAGAGGTGGGCGAGAGACCAAAGGCACGGTCGAAGAGAAGGGCCTTGAGTCCGGCCTTGAAGGAAGCAAGGGAGGAAGCGAGGCGAAGGGACCGTGGAATGGAGTTCCAGAGTGTGGGGCAGGAGACATGGAGCAGGCCGGAGCCTGATGAACGGAGGGAGTGAACAGTCTAGTAGGGAGTCAGCAGGTCAGAGAGATAGGAGGGGGCAAGGCCATGGATGGCCTTGAAGGTGAGGACGAGGATCATGAACTCGATCCTCTGTGGGGATGGGGAGCCAGTGGGGTCGGGCGAGGATCGGAGTGATGGGGTCACAGAGCCTGGTGTGTGAGGGTACACGAGCTGCAGAGATTTGGATGATCTGCAGCTTCAGAAGGGAAGAGTTGGGAAGGCCGATGAGGAGGGAGTTCCCGTAATCGAGCCTTGATATGACGAATGTGTGGGTGAGGGTTTTGACAGGCTGAAGGGCGAAGCAGTAGCGGAGTCTGACAATGTTGTGGAGGTGGTGGTAGGCAATGCCGGTCATGGCGCGGATGTGGGGAAGAAAGGACAGTTCAGGGTCAAACAAGATACCCAGGTTCCTGACTGGCTCAGTGAGGTTGAGTGTGCAGCCGTGAAGGTTGATGCTGCCAGAGCCTGAGGTACGGAGGCGCTGGCAATCAGGAAGGCTGATGTTGAGTTGGAGAAAGTTGGCTTCGTTCAGTACTTGATGTCGGGACAGGCAGTCGGTCAGGACTCCAGTAGTCCTGGAGTTCAGGGCGGAGGCATAGAGGTAGAGTTGGGTGTCATCCGCATACATGTGGAAATTTACCCCATGTCTGTGGATGATGTCATCAAGGGGGAGCGTGTAGAGGGTGAAGAGGAGGGGACCGAGGACCGAGCCCTGAGGAACACCGCCGTTTGCCCCGACAAAGTGGAGGCAGTGTGAAAGGTAGGGCCTGAGCCAGTCAGGTTGAGGTGGGAGGAGAGGCGGTGAAGGAGAATTGAGTGGTCCACGGTGTCAAAGGCGGAGGAGAGGTCGAGGAGGACGAGGCAGAGGGTTCAACCACCTCTCTTGGCAGGGCATTCCAGATCCTAGCTATTCTGTGTATTAAAAAAAATCCTCTAAACTCCCCCATTTGCTTGTTTGGTAACTATCTTAAATTGATGGAGGTATGTAGACACTTAGGAAGTAAGATATTAAGTGTTGGGTAGTAAGGATATTAAATGCTATAATAATAACAGTCCTTGCATTTGATATAGTGCCTAATCACGTTTCAAAGAGCTTCACAGAATATATTGTAAAGTGAATTGACTGTGTATTTTGTGGGCAAAATGCGGGAGCCAATTGCACACAGCAGAGTCCCACAAACAGTCGTGGATTGAGTGACCAAATTATTATTATTATACTTTTTTTAAGGAATTGTTACACCTGATCTCTGTCCAGGGGGACACTGCTGTCTGTGCGCAATTGGTTGCTGTGTTTCGTCCATAAAATATACAGTCAATTCACTTTATGGTATATTCTGTTAAGCTCTCTAAGACGTCTCGAAGACGTGATAAGGCGCCATATCAAATGCAAGGTTTATCATTATAATAATAATCCTTGCATTTGATAAAGCGCTTTTCACATCTTCTAGACGTCTCAAAGCGCTTCACAGAATATGCTGTGAAGTGAATTGACTGTATATTTGTGGGCAAAACGCAGCAGCCAATTGCTCACAGCAGTGTCCCACAAACAGTCGTGGATTGAAAATGACCAATTTATAATTTTTGTTTTTTGGGGAGATTATTATTGGGCGTGTGGAGGAAGGAAACTTGCCCAAGGTTTCGCCCTGCTAGCGCCTTTTCTCACTGAGAAGTCTTGAATCGCTTCACAGAATATACTGTAAAGTGAATTGACTATTTTGTGGGCAAAGCAAGGCAACCAATTGAGCACAGCAGCGTCCCACAAGCAGTGGTGGATTGAGTAATCTAGCAGAGGTGGAGAAACAAGAATTTGAATGTGATCATTTGACCAAGTTGCAACAAAAATGCTCCAAGTGATCAAAGCATTACATTGCTTGAGTATAACGTCTCGGGGATCTGAACTCAACTGATTTAGCTATGCCTGACTGAGATTTGTTTGTACTGTACTTATCGAGGATTTGGACACGCCAATAACTTGGATTTTAGTGAAGCTGAGTAGATTAACACCTGGATAATCCACTGCTAAATCAAAGTTTCTGCTTTGCGGCCATGTGATTCTCTGCATTTCACTTAACATATCTATAGCAGAACAGAAAAGAGAGGTTTGTCAGCCAATTTCAAACTCTTTCCTGAAGAAAAACGGGAAAGTAAACCCCGGATTCTGAGCAGAGTAGTTTGTGGTGGGCTGAGGTGTCTTGAAAAATTGGGTTTCCTACATTTCATAGAACCTTACAGGACAGAAGGAGGCCATTTGGCCCATCGTACCTGTGTCGGCACTTTGAAAGAGCTATCGAATTAGTCCCACTCCCCCGCTCTTACCCCATAGCTGTGCACATTTTTCCTTTTCAAGTACCTCTTAAATTTGAAACCTGCTATTGAATCTGCTTCCTCCAACCGTTCATGCAATGCATTCCAGATCATAACAACTGACTGGGTAAAGAAAAAGTGCATTTTTTTAAAAAAAAAGGTAATCTCATTGTATATACTGACCCACAGCGAAGCTCATTTCAAGTAAATGTTGATGTTTTCACCTATTCAATGACTACTCATTTTCTGAAACTTTTCTGCTGACTCACAACACCTCTTAAATCTGGTAATGTTCCACAGTAAAGATTTATGGGCCAAAGAGAAGCAGAAATCAATTGTGGATGATTTATAACTGGTCAATTTCGGTTTCCCAGTGTGTCACTTTTTTAATGCATAGCTGTCTGGTTTGATTTCTTTTCTAAGATACAGTATTCCTTTGGATTTACTGCATTTTTTTAAGTTGTAGTTAATCACAAAATGTTTATAAGCACAGAAGGGGGCAGGCCTTTTAGCCTATTGTGCCCACTGGAACTATCCATATCTACTCCAATCCTAATTCTTTCTCCATCATATCATTGCTGGTGTGACCTGCGCCAGCGGAGCTATTTACTCTTATCCCTCTTCCCACTCCATTGTAATAATAATCCTTGCATTTGAGAGACCGTCTTAATACGTCGTCAAAACTTCTCAAAGCGCTTTACAGAATATATTGTAAAATTAATTGACTATTTTGTGGGCGAAACGCAGCAGCCAATTAATTGCCTATCTCTTTACCCTTTTAAGATTTTCCTTTTATGTATCCAGTCGAGGGGAAAAGCTATTTCATCCAACTGTAAGAAGTTATGACAATGTTTCACGAGTGTGCGGTGAACCTCAATGGTTTTTGTCCTTTCTCTGCAGGGCCAAGATGGGCTTCCTGGAATCTTGGGGTGTTTATTTGTATCCGGTGTGCAGGGATCCACCGTAATCTTGGGGTTCACATATCACGGGTGAAGTCAGTCAACTTGGACCAATGGACACCAGAACAGATACAGGTACAAACCGTTCATTAATTTTTACCGAATGTGGCTTGCACTTTCCCACCCTGGTCCAGTGCGCTGGAGTTGGGATTTGATGAATCTGTGGCCTTGGATGCTGATCTTTGCCTTACTTACCATTTTGAAATCATAAATCTCAATCTACTTTCTCCACTGAAATATAAGGCACCTTACTGTCAAATAAATCTAGTGATGTCAGCAAGAAGATTATTATAATAATAATGCTTGCATTTGATATAGCGCCTTATCATGTCGTTGAGACGTCTCAAAGCTCTTCACGGAATATACTGTAAAGTGGATTGACTCTGTATTTTGTGGGCGAGACCCGGCAGCCATTTGGGCACAGCAGTGTTCCACAAACAGTCATAGATTGAGTGACCAAATTATTATTTACATTCATTTAGTGCCTTTCATGTTAGAAGTGCATTTTGAAGTGCTTCAGACTGCTGGCTGAGGTTGTGAAATGCGGAGATGTTCTGTGTAAAGGGGCCTAAAATCCCATTCATCACTTTAATTTCTCCCCCTACTACCACTAACACGTTCAGTGACATAAAATAGTGTAACTAGACACGCATGCTGCAGGACAGAACTCTCTAATTATACCCTCTTGATCACTGAGCACAGAAGAGCTTGAAGAAATTGTGGGTATGAGGTGATAACTGTGGGATACTTTTCTTTGAGCCAATCTCTTGTCATGTCAATTTTAAGTGTAATTGAAGATGTTATGCATTCATTTAAATGCATAACATCTCTGCAATTAAACCCAAGTCAGCACTCCATTCCTTTTTTTTTGCAGACAGTGTTTCAGGATCATGTGATTTCTCCTGTTTGCTTGTCTGGCAGATGATCCGCTCAAGAGTCTAAATGAGATGATTTCTGTTTTGTGTTGACCCGGCTCTTTAATTAGTCTTACACCATCCCTGTTTAAAGGAGTTTGTTTTCCTCCCAACATTTTTGTACAACGTAGTTTAGGGGTCCATTAGTGCTGAGTGAATACAAAATTATGGAGAGTAGATGTGAATTTTGGGCTATTCAATGCTTTTAAATGTCAAATTGAAATAACAACAACAAAATTACATTTATAGAGCGCCTTTCATGTTGGGAGGATTTCCCAAAGCGCTCTAAATCACTGACTCTGAATGGAACGTGTTCAGCCCACGTTGGGTTTGTATGTCTGTTATCCCTTCTGTCTTCTTGAGGTGTTTTGACTTTTTTTTCTACCGCCAAATGAGAGTACGGTTCCATTGACGACTGGCATTTTCTTCCATCTCACACAAGTCACTTTTCACATATGAGCCCTGATGATAGTGGTTTCTTTGGAAGGATCTGTGAGGGCATCACAGCCAAGTATGAGCCTGATCTTGTCCTTGCTTGATGTCCCATTCTCCCCTTCCCACGCACATATGCACACACATACACACATATGCATTATGCAGTCAATTCACTTTACGATATATAATAATCCTTGCATTTGATATAGCGCTTTTCAAGTCGGGAGGATGTCCCAAAGCGCTTCACAGAACACACTGTAAAGTGAATTGACTGTATATTTGTGGGCGAACGCGGCAGCCAATTACGTACAGCAATGTCCCACAAACAGTCGTAGATTGATAATGACCATTTATTATTGTTTTTGGTTTTGGAGGGATTATTATTAGGCTCTGTGTGGAGTAAGGAAACTTGCCCAAGGTTTCGCCCTCTGCCTGGAATTGAACTCAGGTCTCTCGCTTGCAAAGCGAGTGCTCTATCCACTGAGCTACAGGACTCCTCATATATTCTGTGAAGTACCTTGAGACAACAACAGATTACATTTTTACAGCGCCTTTCACATCAGGAGCACATCCCACGGTGCTGGAAATCAAGAGATCTGGACCTGAGCTGGTGGTTGGGATCAGGAGGGGTGAGGGCGGGTAGAGGTAGGAGGGTGACCAAAGGCCCGGTCGAAGAGGAGGTTCTTAAGATGGGTCTTGAAGGAGGCAAGGGAGGGGGTGAGGCGGAGGGACTGTTTGATGGAGTTCTGGAAGGTGACAGCAGAGAGGCTGAAGGCCCTCCACTGGAGGTGACACAGGGAAGGCTGGAGCCCGCTGAGCGGAGGGAGTGGACAAGTTGGAACGTCACTGAATACATCCAAAGCACAATCTTTCTTGCTGACTTCTTTCTCCCCCAACCACTCTGCTTGAGATCTCATAGTTACGCATAGGCAGGGATCGAGCCAGGGCTCTTTGTCTGTAAGAATCAGTTGCTCGCTGGATACACTCGCTGAACTGCCTACATGTTGTTAACACATCTTAGTATGGTATGAATCTGCAATACCTTGTGATTTACACTGCACCAGACAAGGTGGTAATTTCATTACTAACCCTTTCACTGACCGGTAACATTTTTATTCTGAAATCTTCATTTTCTCCTGTTAAACCTCATGATGTGGGCCACCTTTACAGTCGTTTAATTGTCTTGTGGGGCCCTTCTCGTGTGTCTGAGGGGAGAAGTCAACATCAACAAAATGAGATACGGAGGGTCACAATTTGAAATGATGAGCTTCGGGAGTGTATATGTCTATTAGTCTTTTCAGGAGTCAACGTTTCAAGTCTGCTTTGGAATTGAAAAGCCCAGCTCATTGCATCAAGGCCTTAAAATTCTGCAGCTCGTATCATGTTCTCAATGCACTGTGTTGAAGGTCTTTAAATAATTTAATGCATTCAAAGTATTTTAGTATTCCTGTTGGTTATTTTTACTAATATATGGTACTGTGCTACTGCTCCAGATGAATATAACGTAACTTATGCTTCATAGGGTCTGATTTCTTATGCAGCTGAAATGACAAGTCTTTAAGTTTGCCACTGTTGTTACTCTCACTTTGTGCAATTGTGTTTACGTCCTTTTTAAGCTGGAATCCAGGTGCCTCTTGTGTTGCATCTACGTTACAATGCTACCTTCAGCTTCAGCAGTGCTGTAGTTAAATTGGCCCAGCACATCCACTCTTAAGGCTCTTTCTAGGAGAGATGTCTTTTTGGCCACTAGTGGGCGCCATGACTAAGTATGTCTGAGGCTTTTGGCTCTGTTCTGTCATCTTTATTTGGTCAGCCGGGTGTCCGACACATACAGAAACTCATCACCTTGCTTAAGAGTATCCAACCCAACTGAGAATTCCATGCATCCCACCTACACCTGGAGATCCCAGAGATAGATTGTTGGAATTGAATATGCATGCTCTCTCTGGAGAGACGCATCCTGCTTACCTAATTCAGGAAAGTATTAGTTGCAGGTGAGAAAGAGCCAAGGCTTGGGGACATCAGAGTGTATGTTGGGGTAACTACTGGAATCAAGTCAGCTAAAACCACATAGCTTACCATTGAAAGTACTACCTGGCAATCTTTCCTGCTGCTTGTCCAGCTAGGACCACCCTACCCATTAGGGCTTTTGATTTGCAACCACAACAACAAATTACATTTGTACAGGCCCTTTCAAGTCAGGATGATGTCCCAAGGCGCTGGACAGTCAGGGATCCTCACCCGAGTTAGTGGTTGGGATCAGGAGGGGTAGAGGGTGGGGAGGGTAGGGGTAGGAGGGTGACCGAAGGCACAGTCGAAGAATAGATTCTTGAGACGGGTCTTGAAGGAGGCAAGATAGGGGGCGAGGCGGAGGGACTGTGGGATGGACTTCCAGAGGGTGGGGCAAAGAGGCTGAAGGCCCGCCCGACAATAGTGAGGCGGGCAAGGCGGGGGACTTGAAGTAGACCGGAACCCTCTGAGTGGAGGGAGTGGACAAGTTGGTAAGCAGAGGTGTGTGGACTAAGGAAACTTGCCTAAGGTTTTGCCCCATCCACCAAGGAGCTGGACAAGAATGTTCTCCTCTGGGTTTTGAAGGACAGTTTCAGGACAGATGCCGGATAGTATTCCTTTCCAAAGGGTTATTAAGAGCTGGATTGAATTACTCAGAAGAGTAGTAGAGGCCAGGATGGCCTCATTTAATATATTAAAAAAACACTCGATCCTGTAATGGGAAGACAATAGGGTGAATGTTCTGGAAGGAGGAGATCAAATGAGCTGAATGAGCTTCTTCACCTAAACACCTCCTGTGAGCAAAGGAAGATTTTTTTTAAACTGCATCCTGCCAGAACTACTGCATCATGTTCTATTGTATCTTGATCAACAATCTTCCATCCTCTCTCCCCCATCCACCCCCCCATAAAATTAGTCATTCGCTCCATGGATATTTGTAGGCCATTGCCCTGGTAAATTGGTTGCCACATTTGCCCACAAAATACACACAGTCACATTCTGTGAACCACTTTGAAACATCTCGACGATGTGATAAGGTGCTATTTCAAATTAAATTTTTATCCTGAAAGTCTTTTGAAAGATTTTGCTGACCTGTTTAATTTGTTCCTCCTTTGCAGTGCATGCAAGATATGGGGAATACCAGAGCTCGGCACCAGTATGAGAAAAACCTGCCTGAGAACTTCCGGAGACCTCAGACGGACCAGTATCCTTCATGCCTGTTGCATAAAAAAATGCTCCATATCCTTAATTCCTGTTGTGTAAAAATGCCCTGGTATCAATGCAATTGGAATGAATGAATGAATGAATGAATGACGAATGACGAATGAATGACTGGATTAGTGTGGCTGTTTCAGTTCGAATTTGCCTACAAAATATAGTCTCTACACTATGCAGTAAAGGCTGTGAAGTGCTTTAAAACATCATCCTTGCATGAAATGTGTTGAACAAGTATTATTCCAGGTTTGTGATCCAGCATTGTTGATATCTAGTATTGTCTTTAAAAAGTTTAACTTTGCAGGTCTGATTTTTAGCTAGTTTATGTTTAGTAGTGTTAATGCAATACAACACAAAATTACACTTGTATTGTGCCGTTCATGTTGGGAGGACGTCCCAAGGTGCTGAACATTCAGGGATCTAGACCCGAGCTGGCAGTCGGAATCGGGGAGCGCGGAGGACAGGGAGGATAGGAGGCTGGCCGAAGGCTCGGTCGAAGAGGAGGGTTTTGAGACGTGCCTTGAAGGAGACAAGGGAAGGACTGAGGTGAAGGGAATGTGGGATGGAGTTCTAGAGGGTGGGGGCGTCATCCGTCAATGGTTAGGCGGGCCGTGCGGGGGACGTGGAGCAGGCCAGAGTGGACAGGTTGATAGGGGATCAGCAGACCGCAGGGCTGTGGAGTGTCTTGAAAGTGAGGACGAGGATTTTGAATTCTATCCTCTGAGGGATAGGGAGCCAGTGGAGCTGGGCGAGGGTTGGGGTGATGGGTTAGGGAGCCTGGTGCGGACACAAGCTGCAGAGTTCTGGATGACCTGCAGCTTGTGGAGGGAAGAGTTGGGGAGTCTGACAAGTAGGGAATTGGCATAGTCGAGCCTCGATGTGATGAATGTGTGGATGAGCGTTTTGGTGACCTGAGGAGTAAGGCAGTGGCGGAGCTGGGCGATGTTGCCGAGGTGGCGGAAGGCAGAGCGGGTCATGGCACGGATGTGGGGTAGAAAGTATGGCTTGGAGTTAATCTTGTGCTATTGTTTCTATTTGTGGTCTATACTCTCTTCCAATGGTTTGTCTGAGGTTAGGAATCGTGGAATCATCATTTCAGATTGATTCTGTGTTTCTACATATCAGAAATCCACAACATTGACCCCAAATCATAGATTGTTGATAAATTATGGATCTACAAAATGCAGGAGAACTGAATTGGTCAAAAGATTAGATGTGGAGCGGAATCAGTAGGGAATATGAGCTGTAAATAAGACTTTTTCTAATAATATTCTGTTCTGACTTTAGAGACTTCAGGTATTGATGATCTATTCTAGAGACTTCTGGTAATGATGATATGTGATAAGGCACTATGTCAACTGCAAGTATTATTATTAATGCAGGAGGGAACTATGTTAATCCACCCGCCAGTTAAAATCCCAGAAGAGGTTTGGACTGGGCTCGGGATATAATAATAAAACTAATAATCTTTGCATCTGGTATAGAGACTTAACAAGTCGTTGAGATGTCTCAATGTGCCATAAAGAATATACCATAAAGTGAACTGACTGTATATTTCGTGGGATAAAATCCAAATGATGTGGACACCAGCCATGCCAGATTGGCAGCCAAGAGGAGCTTTGCATCTATTGTCGTGTTGTAGCTGAAGAATCTTAATAGGTTTTTTTAAAAACAAATCGAATCTAATTTGATGGGTCTTAGTAGGAAGCAGTTAGCATTTAGTGTTGGTTGATGAGGACAGGTTTAATGAGCATTTTCTTTGCCACATCATTAAAATGTGACCTAAAGCAGGAATCGTTTTAGCAGGAATTGACTTTTACTCTCTTGGATTTGTCACAACGAGACTTCCCAAATTAAACCAAGTCGCCCTCCGCATCACAAATATTCCATCAAGCTTCTCTGTAGAATGTAGAGTAGTTTTTTTTTGGAACAATTAAATTCAGACTTTTTATTAGTTTGCTCCCTTGGAGAGTTGGGGCAAATTGAATAATTTTACTTTCTGGAAACTAGTGTCCCATGTGAATCATTAGGAATGTTTATAAAGTGGCTTTTAAATATGTCATTTGTTTTGCACAATGCACTTGTTTATTAATTTATTTGGCCACAAAAATATGCAGTCAATTCACTTTACACTATACTTTGTGACGCTCTTTGAGACGTCTCAACGGTGTGATAAGGCTCTATATCAGATGCAAGGATTATTATTATTTATAAATAAGATTTTTTTGTTGCCATTTTTTCCCACAGTGCCACATTTAGACTTTTTTTTAGAAAAAGCAAAAAATATTTCACTCCATCCTTTCCTAAGTTTTCGGATTTTATTTGTTCTGTCGACTGGAGGAAATTTCCTTAATCTGATTTTGATCTGTTCAATCACTGTGTTCACCAAAATCATAAACGTTCCCAAAGCACCACAAATTGTTTTGTGATAAAAGCTTATTGGTACGTGTCGATTCAATAATCCCTGGAAATGGAATTTTCAAAGTGTGTTCTGTTACCACAAAACAATGCTTCAGATCACTTTGATCTAACTTTGCTTCACAGAAGAAATGGAGGGGAGGTGAGGAGAAATGTGTTCACACAGAGAGTTGTTCGGATCTGGAATGCATTGCCTGAAAGGGTAGTGGAAGCCGATTCGATAACAACTTTTAAGAGAGAAGAAGATAATTATTTAGGGAGGACAGGTTTGCAGGGCTATGAGGAGAGGAGAGCGTGGGGGAATGGGATTGATTTGGATTTGGTACAAACACCATGGACCGAATGGCTTCCTTCTGGCTTATATATGGCTGTATAATTCTATGGTTCTGAGGAGGCCATTTGGCCCATCTGCCTGTGCCAGCTTTTTGAAAGAGCTATCCAACTAGTCCCACTCCCCTGCTCTTACCCTATAGCTATGCAAATTTTTCCTTTTCAATCCAATTCCCTTTTGAAAACTACTATTGAATCTGCTTTCACTCCCTTTCAGGCAGTGCATTCCAGATCATAACTCTCTGGGTAAAAAAAAATCTTTGTCCCCTCCGGTTCTTTTGCCAATTATCTTAAATCTGTGTCTTCTAGTTACTGACCCACTTGCAGAAATAAACAGTTTCTTCTTATTTACTCTTTCAAAATCTCTTAACGTTGAACACCTCTGTTAAATCTTCCCTCGACTTTCTCTGCTCAAAGGGGAATAATCTGAGCCTCTCTAGTCTCTCCACATAAGTGAAGTCCCTCATTCCTGGTATAATTCTGGTAAATCTCCTTTGCACCCTCTTAAAGGCCCTGATATCCTTCCTAAAGTGTGGTGCTCAGAACTGGACACAATACTCCAGCTGAGGCCTGACTCACGATTTGTAAATGTTTAGCATAACCTTTACAAGAAATTAAAGTCTTGGAAGAAATGCTCGAAGAACATGTGTGTGGACTTGTACTTTTGTATTCAAGGCCGGTCTCAAGACCTTTCTCTTTGACGGTGCCTTCAGCTCCCCTCTCAACTCTCTACCCCTCCTCGCCCCCTCCTCGCCCCCTCCCTTCCCTCCCCTCACCCTGACCATTTCCCCCCTCCTCGCTCCCTCCCTTCCCTCCCCTCACCCCGACGCTCTATAAATGGAATCTTGTTGTTTTGTAATAATATCCTAATGGTGCATTTCATATTGGGAAGACGTTCGAAAGTGCTTCACAAGATATATAGAAAAAGTGCAGTGACTGTCTTTTATGGGCACTGAAGGATCCTTGAAATTTGCACATTCCAGCAACCCTGCTTCCAGCTATCAGGTTCCTTTCATGATGTTTGTGGGACACTGCTGAGTGCAATTGGCTGCTGCGTTTCGCCCACAAAATACTGTGAGGTGCTTGAGATGTCTCAACGACACAATACGGTGTTATATCAAATGCAAGGATTATTATGTAGGTTTGGAGGGGGGTGGGGGAGCAAGCTTCCTTCCTCCACACGCCTAATAATAATAATCCCTCCAAAAAAAAAATGGTCATTTTCAATCCACGAGTGCCTTGAGGTGTCTTGAAGAAGTGATAATGTCAAATGCAAGGATTATTATTATTATTGCAGTATAAATTGAGCTACTCTGGATAAGATGAGGAGGCTTGTTCTGTGCTAAACCATGTGGACTCTTGGGCTGAGGTGACTGCTTTGAACAAAAAGTACTGCCCCTCCCTATGCTTTCCTTCCTCTTTAGATTTAATTATTCAACACAAATTAAATCACAGCAAGCATTTGATAGGATGAGTAAGATGTAGAGGTGGAGGGGGTGGTAGCTTGGAGGGTGAATGGAGCTGTGCTGTTGCTATGCCTGGCAGCTGGTTAGAGTGGCATTGACAGTGCCCTGCAAGATCAAAAGACTGCTTGCTCCCTCTCTTCTCCAGTGGGGAATGAATGATACATAATGTGGGAGAGAGCGGTAAGAATAAAAAATGTTTTTCATTTTTTTTGATCTCTCCTTTGTCCTGATTTCTGTTGTCTGATTGGGATCATGTTCCCCATTTGGGGCGATGATAATAATTAGTGATGAAAATATTAAGATTGAATTTGATAGTGTCTTATCACATCGTCAATACATCTCAAATCACTTCAACAACTTGCATTTATAGAGCACCCTTCATGGAGTGGGAGGAGAAGCCACTTCAGGAGGTGTACAGAGAATAATAATTGATAATAATATTCGATATAGCGCTTTTCACGTCTTCCAGACGTTCAAAGGGCTTCATAGAATATACTGTGAAGTGAATTGACTGTATATTTATTGGTGAAATGCGGCAGCCAATGTCCCACAAACAAGGATTGAAGTGATCAATTGATTTTATTTTGACGGATTATTATCAGGCATGTGGAGTAAGGAAACATACCCAAGGTTTCGCCCTGGCAGGAATCAAACCCAGGTCTCTCGCTTGCGAGGTGAGCGCTCTAACCACTGAGTTACAGGACTCTACAGCAAATGTACAGCAAAGACTAGCAACTCTAACTGCCCCCTACACCTTCTTGTCCAGAAAACCTATATCTTTGCGAGTCTCGATGGTGAGCCAGGCCAAGGTGCTTAGGAGAACTCAGGTATTGAATCTACCAGAGTTAACTTAGCTTTGTATTCTCTGCCTAGCCTGTTGCCTGAGAGATGTCCTGGCACCTATATAATTATAATCCTTGCATTTGATGTGTAATATATTAAACGTCTCACAAACAGTCGTGGATTGAATGACCACATTTTTATTCTCTCTTTGAACCTGGAATTTCAGCCTAGACTATGTAAAAATAGACATTTATTTATGTGTGTGTGTGTATGTATATATATATATATATATATATAAATATATATGTTTCATGGGTAGATGGCAGCAATACCACTTAATAATATAATAATAATCCTTCCACTTGATCTAACACCTTATCACGTCGTTGAGATGTCTCAAAGCGCTTCACAGAAGCATGGCAGCCAATTGCACACAGCAATGTCCCAAAAACGGTGGTGGATTGAGTGACCACATTTATTTTTAAGGGATTATTGCACTTGGAAAGCGATCCGACAATCAACTAACAACCGGGTTCCTACTCACTGCTAGGTAAACAGAGACTTGTGAAATAAGGAAACATGCCTAAGATTTCGCCCTACCTGGGAACCAATAATCTGTGAACTTTGATTTAAAATTATTTGTTAGCCAACCATACAACACACTTGTAAATTGTGGCCAGCAATCTCTTGATGGAATTCCTACAGTGGAATGGCTGCCTTGTGCTCTCCCAGGCATTTTTTCTGTGTTCATGGCACAGCCACAGTTAAAATCATCATGTAGTGTAATAGAGCTGCTAAAAAAAAATCCCACTCTTCTGCAAATTCTTTTTCTAACAATCGCCTCCCAAAGGTACACAAATAATTGTACAATTTGTCCAACCTACACAATCTACTTTAACTCACCTTCAACTTCTGACTACTTTCTAATTTGTTGTTAAAATTGAAAACAATTTCTATGCAAGCTCAAAATACAAGTGTAGAAGCATAGTTGGGCAAATTTCCTTACACTGGGCGAAACTTTGGGCAAGTTTTCTTACTCCACACGCCTCTGTTCACCTAGCAATAAATGGGAACCTGGTTATTAGTTGATTGGTGGAACATTTTCCAGGGGTAATAATCCCTTTTTTTTAAAAATGTGGTCACTCAATCCCTGACTGTTTGTGGGACACTGCTGTGCACAATTGGCTGCCATGTTTCTCCCACAAAATATACAGTCAGTTCACTACAGTATATTCTGTGAAGCGCTTTGAGACGTCTTGAAGATGTGATAAGGTGCTATAACAAATGCGTAGATTATTATTATAGTTGTGGATTGTGTGACCACAGCCCAGGAGCTTCTCCCATTTATCTGATCAAACGTATTCAGTTTTAAACACCATAATTGGTGGATAAAATAGGTGAATTATTTTCACACGGTGAATGAAAATGTAGCCCCTTTTGCTCATTTTTTGAGAATATAACTTCTTTTAAAGTGTACTTTAATTTTCAGAATGGTTCTTTTGTTCAATTCAATGGTTTAAACAAAATATGGTATTTCGACGTTGGACTTTCTGCCTTGTGTTTGGACATTAAGATGCTTTAGTCCTTCTTGCCTTTTCCCAATGTCCCAGATTTCTCTTTTTCACATATTTGTCCCTCTTTAAAAGCTGTTATAGATTTTGCTTTAGCTGATGTTACCCACCCTCACCTTGGGTGCCCATTCAGCACCGTGAAGCTCATTCACGGTGTGAAATGCCAAACGCAAAAGAGACCAGGATCCATCTGGTTCGCCTTCCAGCTTCCTGGGGGTAGCTTGCACATATGTCCCAAACTACCTATGTACTATATTCCATAATGTTATTTCCCAGCACCTTGGGACATCCTCCCGATGTGAAAGGCTCTATACAAATGTAATCTTGTTATTGTTGTTGTTCCTAAAAGAAAACTGTCTAATCTATGTTTGAAGAAATCTACACTTCCTGCTTCAACCGTTCCCCTAAGGAGCCTCTTCCACAAGTTTACTATTCGCTCATTGAAAAAATGTTTCTGTAGATTTGTTCTGAATTTACCCCCTTCAATCGTATCCACTGGTTTTACTATTCTGGACTAGTTGAAACAGCCTGTCATGATCTACGTTGTCTAGCCCCTTTAGAATTTTAAAGACAGCAATCATATCGCCTCTCAATCGCCCCTCAAAGGCTCAATATAAATGTATATTTTAATCGTTTTTTCCTGTGCAATTTTTGTCTCGAGATGCAAATACACTCATTTCCATCACCTTATTGTTAATGGGTTGCCCGAATTGCTTGCGATGGATCATTTACATAGCCACAACAATGTCTGTCAAAGGGCATCATTCTCAAATCAGTTTGTTGAACACCAGTTAGGTACTAAATTACATCCATAAAATACGTATGACTCCCAAAGACTAATCTTTTCTGGAGAGAACTGAAACAAAAACCCTTTCTTATGTACTTTTAATCTTTATTTTGTAAGATTATGCAAGACTGACCGTTTTCTCAAGCGTGGATGAGTCTTTAGAAATGTGAGGATGTTTTTTGAAGTCTGGGTTTAAAAGTTTTCGTTTGGTTGGCGGTTTGTTCAGATATTCTATGTACTGCTGTGTCTCAACATGAATTCAAATCAATTTCAGTGTGGAGTACAAGACTTTTTTTAAGATAGGATAAATTTTTCCTTAATTGAACCTCTATCAGAGCGGTGGAGTTTTTCATCCGAGACAAGTATGAAAAGAAGAAATACACGGACAAAAATGTGAACAATGGAGTCACAGTAAGTATTGCTTCTTTTTGCAGGTCTCCCTGTTCCTTAGTACTAGGCACTAGCACAAGTCTCTGTTTATAATTCCAGGTCTGCCATTCACGTTCATTTCGCCCCAGGGTGACCCAAATTGAATCTGATCTCTGAGGGTTTGCCCCGAGGACGACTCAAGATGTCGATCGTGGGCGAGGCGGTGTTAAATCACCAGCCTAATGCATATTGCTGTTACCTCACATATTTGCATGCTTGATGCACATTTTTGCTTTACAGACCAGACATCTCTCGAAAGTCAAAATCTGTTTGCTGTGTGCTTGGTTTTGTGTGTACGTGCATGCTGTATCATGTACACTTTATGGTTGGCCAGCAAAATAAACTTCCTTGATTGAATGTTTCTTGATTTATGGCATAAATTAAGAAATATTCAATCAAGAAAAAACTAAAAACACACCAACGATCGAACACGTTGATCTTGTGCGAATGTTCGGGAACCGTTTCTTGATAGCCCTATGGGCCACTTCCGGCCCTCAGGCCACAATATACACTGATATATACGCATTCTACATTAGTCACTGTCAGCAATGCATCAACGCCTAATAATAATCCCTCCAAAACAAAACAATAATAAATTGGTCATTTTCAATCCATGACTGTTTGTGGGGCTCTGCTGTGCACAATTGGCTGCCGTGTTCGCCCACAAATATCCAGTCAACTCACTTTACAATATATTCTGTGAAGCGCTTTGGGACGTCTAGAAGACGTGAAAAGCGCTATATCAAATGCAAGGATTATTATTATCAAGAGCACTCTTGCCTCTGAATCAGAAGGTTGTGGATTATAGCCCTTTGTTGGGACTTGGATCCTATATAGTCTATACTGATATTCCAATGCATTTCTGGGGACGCACTGCATTGTTGGAGGTGCCGTCCTTCAGATGAGATGTTAAACCAAGAGTTCCGTCTGCCTATTAAAGTGAACATTGAAGATCACATGGCACTATTCAAAGAGAGAAGGGAATTTCTCCCGGTGTCTTGGCCAACAATTCCCCCCCCCCCCCAAAAAAAAATGGAGGTGGTGGGGAAAATGGTGGTGAGGTGTCTCGGCCAACATTGCCCGCTACCCCCCAAGAACATTGATCACTCACTTCATGACTGTGGGACATTGCTGTGCATAAATTGATTGCCCTATTTGCACACAAAATACACAGTCACACCACTTCACAGTATATAATAATTATTGTTGGAGTGAATAACTAACAACATAGCGCCCTTCAAGTAGGATAGCATCTTGGAGTACTGTACAGTGATGGAGTTGGTTTCTAGAATGGAATTTGCTTGGTTGTGTTGTGCAATTCTACTGCAGTTTTTTTAAAAATTTGCAGTTGGTCCACAAAAATATTTTTTCTGCAATTGTAATTATTATGTGGAAGTGGCATTAAAAAAAAATGTAGCCTGAAATGTATTTGAAACATCTGAAATGTAATGATACTTTGCATCTTTGTGGAGAACCTACTTTGAATTTCCAGGCGTGTCTCAGAGCCTCTCAGCTGATGTTAACAGTGAGGCAGTCAAAGAGCAGCTCCATTTTGGGATGCCCTTTGGTTGAAGATGCCGATCCAGATCAAGGTGGAGCTTGTAATAATAATCCTTGCATTCGATATAGCGCCTTATCACATCGTCGGAGTCTCAAAGCGCTTCACAGAATATACTGTAAAGTGGATTGACTGTGTATTTTGTGGGTGAACGCGCAGCTCAGCAATATTCACAAACAGCCACGGATGAGTGAATGCCAATTTTTTTTATTTGGAGCATTGTTGGCAGTTCAGCATCAGCTACTACTGTTTTCAACTTCTGATGTCTCCACATTAATGTCTTGAATAGGAAAGGTATCTGTGGCCTCATTGTTTCCTGGAGGACCATTGCCCATTAACATTATTGCAGCTCTGTAGCATTATTGTAAGTTTGGAGATCATTGGTCTTCTGTATTGGCAGTATTTACACGTATATTTTCCATATATGTAGTGCATGTGTGGATCTGTATTTAAACCCAGATATCTAGTCTGTATTTAAACGAAACTGTATTTAAACCCAGATATCTAGTCTGCTCTAATGTCATAAACAAGGAAAATATTCCTCCTTTGTATCATAGAAACAAATTTTCTGCAAAGAAGGGGAAATTTGGTCCATCGTGTCTGTGCTTGTTACTCATCACTCCTACTTGTTTTTCTAAATTTGTTCTTTTTTAATTAATCCCACTTTCCAGATCTCCATATGTAGCAGTGACATTTGCTTTCAAAATTGTATTAATACTTGTAAAGGAAGACTAGAATTACATTGAATCTAAAATGGATTTTAGATGTATTTCATTACACCAAGTTGTATCATTTTGTACTTTGGAACCAGCTGGATGTACCAAAATTGACTTCTACTCATGTTTCCTATAAGCGATTTGGGAGTGTTTGAGACTCCAATGCACTCTCTCAAGTTCAGATGAGAGTATAATGTGGTCTTGTAGATTGTCATATGAGCCCCTTGAGTTTCACATATTAACTCTATCGTGCTTCCAGCCATTGCCTTCTGTTTGAATTTTTGATTACTGTATTTAAGTTTTTATATAAATGTAAGCTCCATAAATTCATTTTTGTGAATTATTTTTGTGTTGAGTATGATAACTTGTAACGTATGGCCCAATGTGAACAGATGTGAAGTAAAAGCAAAAGCCTTTAAATTTACAGAAATCTGTTTAAAAGGTGAAATTAATATGCTGTAGCATAGTGGTGCTTGCAATTGCTTCCAGTCAATTTCATGACTTAATATACCAATGAAATTTCCAATTGTTTACAAATACACTAAATAAAACGCAGTATTGCTTTATCAAACCTATTCTTTGTTGTTAGATGTATTATTTGTTTTCTCCCAAAGTATATTAGGTTTCTGATTCCTTCTTGGTCTGTGTGAGAATAGATAGGATTTCTTCATTAACTTGGCCATAAATTGAGTTAAGCCACAAGTGAGTGTTTTTTTTAAAAAAAGCAAAGAATGGCTGAACTGTGTTTCCTCTTTATTTAATAAAAATTTGGTCACTCAATCCACGACTGTTTGTGATACACTGCTGTGGGCATTTGGCTGCTGCGTTTTGCCCACAGAATATACAGTCAATTCACTTTACAGTATATTCTGTGCAGCTCTTTTGAGACATCTTAACGACGTGATACATCAAATGCAATTTATAAATTTATAAATAAAATCAATGATCAATGTTTGATTCATCATGGAAATTAATTTAACAGAAAAATGAAACTAATGTTTTCTAATACTTAATATTTCACAAGTTACTTTATTATTATGGATTAAAAACTGCATCTTCTAGTAATGTTTCAGCAAATCGCATTGGAAAATAAAATGGTGAATTCTTGATTGCAGGAACTTAGAGGAATAAATTCTTGCACCAGAGTCTCGATGAACTATCAGGTCAGGATTGTCTAAATAACGAGTGAATGTAGAGGTTAGTTTTTGTTAAAATGATGCTGCCATTCTGCTAGTGGGAAGAGATACCCTTTGACAGCCATTGGAACTCATCAATTGAGCAACAGCAGATTCAAGTGGACTGTCAGATGAACGGTAATGGAGTGCTCCATCCTGGTTCCCATTTGAAGTGAATTTCCTACTCAATGAGTTACATTGACAGGAAGTCCAAAATATACTGTGCTTTCAAAAGGGGAAAACACAATACAATTTAACATTTTATACAGCGCATTTGTGGAGTCCTGTAGCATATTGGTTGCAGCATACAAGCGAGAGGACCCAGATTCGATTCCCAGGCAGGGCGAAATCTTAGGTAGGTTTCCGTACTCTACGTGCCTCTGTTTACCTAGCAGTAAGTAGGAACACGGTTGTTTGTGATTAGCGGATTGCTTTCCATGGGTAATAATGCCTTTGAAATGCTGTGCGTAATTGGCTGCTGTGTTTCACCCCCAAAATGTACAGGCGATTCACTTCACAGTATTTTCTGAGAAGCGCTTTGAGAGGTCTCGACTATGTGATAGTCCTGTAGTCCAAAGCACTCACCTTGCAAGCGAGACACCTGGGTTCAATTCCAGGCAGAGCAAAACCTTGGGCAAGTTTCCTTACTCCACACACCTAATAATAATCCCTCCAAAACAAAACAATAATAAATTGGTCATTTTCAATCCACAACTGTTTGTGGGACACTGCAATTGGCTGCCGTGTTTCGCCCACAAATACATGGTCAATTCACTTTGCAGTCTATTCTGTGAAGCGCTTTGAGACGTCTAGAAGACATGAACAACGCTATTTCAAATGCAAGGATTATTGTATATTATAAGGTGTTATATCAAAATATAAGGATTGTTATTATTATTTCACACTGGGAGGACATCTCAAAGCACATAAGACTGCTGGCTGGACACCTGAGCTGGGGGAGGGGAGGGAAGATGGCCAAAAGCACAATCGAAGAATATGGTAGGGGAGTGAAACAAATTATTTCAGATTGCTATGAGAAATAAAGCATGTAGCACAGTGTGTTAGTTATGTTGTATGTAATAATTCATTTCAGCGTATACTACTCCATTTAGTTTGGGGAGGGGGAGATCTACCTCCTTCATTTTATAGGAGAAATGCAAAATTGAAATGCTTCTCATTCTCAGGATCTGTAAACAAAAATTGCTTAAATTCAGTCTGGGCAGGTGAGTAGCTTATGTCTCTCTGAGTAATCACCAAAAAAGGTATTGTGTTCGACCCTGAGCTGTCCTTTCTTTTTGTTCGACCCTGAGCTGTCCTTTCTCCCTCACATCCGCACCACAACTGGCACCGCCTTCCATCACCTCCGGAATATCGCCAGATTACGGCACTACCTCACCCCTCACGCTGCTGAAACCCTGGTTCACGCCTTTGTCACCTCAAGGCTGGACTATGGGAACTCTCTCCTCGCCGGCCTTCCCGCCACCTCCCTCCACAAGCTGCAGGTCATTCAGAACTCTGCAGCTCGTGTACTGT